TCTCTCTCTCTCTCTCTCTCTCTCTCTCTCTCTCTCTCTCTCTCTCTCTCTCTCTCTCTCTCTGTCTTTCTGAGACTGGGTCTATCTATATAGTTTAGGCTAGGCTTGAGCTCATTTTGTAGCCCAGGCTGGTCTTGAACTTGCAATGATCTTCCTGGCTCAACCTAAATGTTTCATTCTTGGTGCAATGTCCATGTGTACAAACCAGAAAGACGATAGCCTTTCAGCTTCTAGATGTGAGAACCAATCATAAACAAAAGGAAAAGCTGTTTTATTTTGGTTGCTCTAGGTTTTTTTTTTTTTGTTGTTGTTCTGGGGTTGGACCTCTGAATTCTGCAATTTTGCATTTGCCAGGCAGGAACATAGGCCACTGAGCTATTTCCCAGATCTGAAAAGTGATGCCTTACTATTGATAAAAATGAGCCTTAACAAAAAAAGGGGATACAAATGAGTGACCATTTTGTATCTGTATATTCAAAATAGGATAGATGTACAACTACATTCTCTTAATTCAGTGATTGTTCTAATAGTGTTTGTGGATAGGATGTCATGTCTGCATCTTATACAATGAATAACCACTGAGACAACAATAAGCAATGTATTTATTATGAAACTGGCCTACTGATCAGTTTTAAAACTCTTATTGCTATTTGTTTCTCAATAAAATTGTTTTAAGGGGCTGGGGAGATGGCTCAGTGGAATAAGCGCTTCCCTGGCAAGCGCAAGGGTGTGAGTTCAATCGCTGGTTCTGAAAAAAAAAAAAATTTGTTTTAAAAAAAAAACAAAACAAAAAAACAAAACAAAAAAAAACTAAACACCAAAACCAAAACCAAAACCAAAACCAAAAACAAAATGAGCCTTTGGGGGCCAGCCAGATAGCTCAGTTGACTGTAGCACCTGCTAGGCAGAGTGCAGCTGCCAGGGTCTAATCCCTGGTGTGCTGTGCCAGCCTCACCCGCGGGGCACACTGAGCCATGATTGAGACTGGGAGTGGTGGCACGTGCCTATAATCTCAGAGCTTGGGAGAATCACTACTAGTCTACTCTACATAGTGAGACCCTCTTGACCCTGTACCAAATACAAAAATAAAAAGAGCCTTTGGAGCCACAGGATATATCAAAACAAAGCAGGAAATATGGTTTGCTTTGTTATAACTTCTGGAACAAAGTTTAGGTTCTATCAGACTTTTAAAACTCAGATCATACACCCTATTTAGAGAATTCATTTTCAACCTGCAATTTAGTTTTCCTTATGTTCTTGGGGGAACAACAGACTTTATAAGGTACAATATCACATGATGTACAGAGACCATATAACATCTTTTTCTGCTTGTACCTGCTTTGGGCATTTGCCTGAATTAACCTGTTTAGATTCACTGAATCAATACTGAACTTTATAATTACCAGACTAATATGTATATGTTTATTTAGGAAGACAAAGTATGGAATAAAAATTATAATCTGACTGAGCAGAGAAGAGAAAGAAGAAGCATACAAATCAGAGGACTCAGAGGCAACAGGGCAGAGTCATAGAAAATAGGGACCCTTATTCTCTCCCTTTCCACATGATGTCATGTGTTTATAAAGCATTTGGATACTTCTTTCTTTCTTTTTTGTTTTCTTTCCTTCTTTCTTTTTCTTTTTTTTTTTTTTTTTTTTTTGGTGGAACTGGGGATTAAACTTAGGCCCTTGCACTTGCCAGGCAAGCACTTATTCTACTGAGCTATCTCCCCGGTCCTTGGATACTTCTTTCTCTGAAACATGCTCAAATTTTTCTTACTTTAGAGACCTGAGAACAATTTAGTCTATACTTTTTGTGTTTTGCTCAAGGCTTAAACAAAATAAAAAGAAACTCCTCCTCTTATGATTTTTCTTGTCTTGCAACGGCTTCAAACTGTCCTTCTCTCAGCTTACTAATAACTGACACCCATTAATATTACATGCATAGGAAGAGAAGAGCTCTCCCCTTTGCCTATTTTGAATGTGATTTCTAATGCAGCTTCATCAGTCTCATGAATCATGCAAAACCACTGTGACAGTGCATTAATTTACTTAACATATGTACTGCACTCCTAGTATGTGCCAGAACTTGTGCAACACACAGTGGAGATGCAGGGGACATACATGGTCAATGAGTGGAACCTTTAGTCTGGTGGAACATACAAATTGTTAGAAAGAATGAATCTCCCAAATGCTGTGCTGGCTTTGCCCCCAGAGCTCGCTGAGACAGTGATTGAGACTGGGTCTGGTGGCATGCTCCTGTAATCCCAGAGCTTGAGAGGCTGAAAACAGGAGGATCACTATGAATCTGATCTGTGTACTGAGACCCTGTTGACACTGTACTAAACACATTTTTTTTTAAAAAGAAAGAATGAGATGTGACAAGAGTAAAGCTTAATTCTTCTTGTTGAACACTGCTTTGTCCGAGGCTCATTGTAACACAGATAGCTGCTTCAACTGAATAATTCTAATTTTATTGTTGTGCTGTCCTTGGTGAACAAAGTGAAGTATTATGATGTCTTTTTTGTTACTGAATATATTTGCTTTCCCTCTCCATCATCACATGAATACAAAACTGAAGCAAAACAGTTTCCCTGTGATTTGGTTTGCTGATTGGAAGCCCACGTTTATCAGCGCAGTACATGTTTGTAGTACATTCCTTGTGGAGAGGTGGTGTGTGTATATGACACCACTTAATTGTTTGGTTGTCTCCTTTTCCTCCTCTCCCTCTCCCCACTGTCCCTCAGTTCCCCTTTCTTTTGCAAAGGATTTCTCTCTCTTTCCCTCTCACCTGTCTTATATTTTGCTTTTGACTTTGTTTATACTTGGGTTTCTCATATAAGAGAGACCAGCCTATATTCAAGCTTGTGTTTCTGGTGTATCTTACTTAACATGGTCTCAATGGACACTTTCCTACAAATGATTCAAATTTATTTCTTTATGGAAGAGTAATACTCCATTGGAAATAAATAACACGCTTCCTTTATCCATGCATTTGTGACTACAAAATTTTTGTCAGTGCTTCTTTAAGTTTCAGAGAAGGCATGATACATAGTTGCCCACATGAAATACTTTGAAGCCGCACAAAACAGGCCTCTATCTGAACCTAAGGCCTTTCTTTTTTCTTTAAAAAGAGAAATCACCTTTCTCTATTTTGTATTCTTTCTTATTCTCAATTTGAAGTAATAAAAAAAGCTTGAC